AGTTCGCTGTTGCGTTCGATCCCACCTGTCCTTAATCTCTGTGTCGAATAACACAATAGGTGGTGTTTCAGTCAAGATCATCGCAATGGTCAAAACCTACTATAGCTCCCACTGCGTGAGTCCTTGTCGATAACAATATGTTCCAACCGTTGAACACCCTATCTGGTGTTTGACAAGGTTGTATCCCGGTGTTCATTTTGTTCAATTACGCCACCGACTGAATTTTCTAAAGGGTCCTACATGATTTTACGCTGTTGAATTTCCACCAGCATCGGCTGGTTGGCCGCGCCATGCCAGTCTCCAGTTTTGATGCTCTACAGTTATTGGTGTCGCGCGTGAATGAAGCCACCTAATCCGTCATTGTATTCCTAAGGTCTGGGAAGACCAATCTGTTTTCGAGACGCAGCCCCAACCACGAGAAAACATCTCTCGGAATCAGTGGCTGTCAGCTGGAAGAAGTAGATAGTTTCGATTACCTTGGGGCGGGGTTGATACCAAATAAACAGGACACAGATGACATTGTTTCCTGACTTGATGCTGCTCAAGGTTCTTTCGGTCCTTAGATAGAATATATGCACCAAACGCGATATCATCGCCACGAGTACCCGCATGTGCTGTGAATCTTTTTGGTCAGTCCTATACAGTTGCGAATGTTAGGCCTTGTGCATGAAAAATGAAAGAAAACTGTAGGCATTTAATCACTATTGCCCGAAGACTATACTTCGAATGAAGTACACTGACTTCGTCTAAAATGGGACAGTCCATACTTGCTGCAGCAAAGTTGCGAGGGTGTCACAACTCATCCAACAAAGACAACTGAGGCTTCCTTAGGTCGTCATGCACGAAGAAGTACGATACATGACCTCGTCGAGGCCGCCTAGATCGGGCTGATAAATTGACCAGTGTCTAAGAAATTTAAATTTACTTAGCAGACACAATCGTAGGCACCGTATTATCTAAGTATCATGAGACTTTTTCCGTTAACTGACTGTGGGCACTCTGGTAATGTTTAAGCCTTAGTTATGAAGATATCCTCAAAGTATGATTAAATACTATGTGGTTTTACGTATCTACAAATTTTCTGAAAATACGTTGTCTGTATTTTACAGCCATCAAAGTGGTACAGCTTTTAGGGAATTTTGCCTACTTAGTGCGTTCTTGGAAGTCCTTTTTGTCGCAGATGGTGGTTTGGATATAATTTAAGGCTATTTCGGATATGAAACCCACCTGCCGGAGGAGATGGACGTCCACAGCGAAGACTTGCAATAAGTGCGCTTTATGTCAAATAATTAGCATTTAACGATTTCCGTCCATAATATGTAGGTGTTTTGATGGGCTCATTCCACACACGAATGTCCACTTCATTCATCGTTTTCCAAACCACCTCTTTTTTGCCAGCAGGTACGCCTTTTGAAACCGTTCTCACCATACACCGTACCAGCAGAACAGGTTCGAGCTAAAAGTCCGAACAAGTGTTTCGATTATATTCTGCCGCTGTATGCCACAGCTGCAGAGTTTCGGCTTATCCGTGGACCCTCAGCGTTCCCTGTGTGCTTTTTGG